CTTATGCCTCCCATAAACATTACCCAAGGTTTCTAAACTCTCTAAAACTTCTCCTTTTGAGATCTAAGATTTATTCATTATTTTATCTCGAATCCACACAAGTGAGATCTAGATTCTTTGAGTGAGATTGAGATGGCTCTAAGGAGAGAGAAAAGACTAAGAGTTGAGGATGTTTATGATGATCGAGTAGAACTTCGATGAAACTCCTCGATTCATGATACATGAGTTCGCAGAAAGATTTAGACCGAAATTCTCTCGTAGGCAAGTGTTGATCAAACAGGGAATTACTATAACGGAGGTATCAATTTCTTTAGTCTCTAATCTTACGAACCATAGGTGGACTTGGATGTTTCATGACCTAGTGACATCGAACGATAGCATGGTAAGGGAATTCTTTGCACATATTCAGACTGATGAGCTTGATTCCCATATTGATCACTTTGTCACATATATTAGAGGAATCAAGTTCATCTTTTCTACTGACCTCAGAGCTACCACACTANGAAAAAGGCCACAGGAACCAACATTGGGCTCGCTCTATGAGTTCGCTCAAGCGGTCTCTATGGTCACTCGAGTAGTGCTCATAGTCACTTGAGCAGTCCTAATCCTTAGCTAGTTTGAGAGATTGTTTTTCANAAAAAAGGCCACAGGAACCAACATTGGGCTCGCTCTATGAGTTCGCTCAAGCGGTCTCTATGGTCACTCGAGTAATGCTCATAGTCACTTGAGCAGTCCTAATCCTTAGCTAGTTTGAGAGATTGTTTTTCACTCCATTGCCAACAGTCGTATGACTGTCCTCCCACTGATCAAGCAGCCTTTCGTGAATCTAAGTTCTCTTATTTACTAAAACTACCCTTATTCTGAACCTATAAATAGAGAATCTTTCCCACATCTAGTTCAAGCTTTAAGAGTGCATTTTGAAGAGAGAAATTTATCTTTCAAACTTGAAAGCTTCTACCACAACCTAAATCTAAAAGCTACCACTAGTGATTCTTTCTATCCTCATAACTTGGAGTAGAAGAGCTTGTTGGTGAATAAACTCATTGGTGTGTGTATATCGAAAATTTTTGGTATGCCTATAATTTCTTGAGGTCTAGATGAACCATACGGCGAGGAGGTCCAAGTGAAGCTACACCAGACTTCGAAAAGCGAGTTTCGACGGAGAGACATAACAAGAAAATGAGCATCTAGACATGGGTATTGGTTGAGATATAAGACTTGAATACTTGTATCTTGACTTGACGCATAGTAGATTAGGCTTTAGTGAACCCCGAGTGGTTTTCTGCTGTTTTTTCCAAGGAGAGTTTTTCGCATCAACAAATTGTTAATGTCTCTTATTGCTTATTGTTTATATGTGCATTTGTTAGCATACACGAGCACTATATGTATGTTGTTTTGATTGTTTGATATCATATCATCTATAGTTGTGCAATTAAGTTTGTGGGATCAACGTGAGATTGATTACGAGTAAATTAATTGAATATTTAATTTAATCAATCGTCATGTGCGTGAAAGGTTGTGATGAGTAAAGAGGTTCTCCCATTCATTGTTACATACTTATGAGAAGAGGTAATTATGGTAGATATAAGTTTTAATTGTAATAGAATTTAGGCTAAAATTACAAAACCTATTCATCCTACCCCTCTAGGTTAAGTGTCTTGATCTCCAAATGTATAATCGTGAGGGAAGATCCATATTGGGCTTTTCCTCGTGGAACAATAGTAATCTTAATTTCTTGTACATTATGTTACAAAATTGTTGAAGGGAGAGATTCTAAGATCACATTTTCTAATTAAGCTAATTTCGTGGAGTTTATTGTAAACATCAACCTTTTCCATGGTCATGATATTATCAGATTAAAGATCTGAAAGCGTCATTAAAAGGAAGAGATCAAAGGTTAAAGCAACATCATTCAAACTCCATATGAACCTTCATGTTTAGGACAAAAGTAATGACCTAAACATCTAAGATGAACCCTTAGTTACTTGCTACTTAAGATGATTAGGATGAAAATAAAATTGAAAGAAATCCAACAATAACTCCTAGGCATTTTGAAAAGAAAAATTTTTCTAAACTATTTTGTGTATTAAAAACATTGATTGAGTCATTATTGGACCTCCCTCTTAAGCAATACCCTTTACTGCTCAAGATGATAAGCATTTTGCTTAGTTTTATGCTTTAAAATTTGGTAGGGACCGACCAATGCTCATCAGCCTTTGTTAGAGTGGTCTTTTTATGACTTGGGGAATAAAATGAGAAAAGGCCACGAAAGAGTGTACGGAACTCACTCGAGCAATCCTTTCCAGTCGCTCAAGTAGTACTCATGGTTGCTCGAGTAGTGTATGGTCTTGGTCAGGTTTGAAAAGTGATTTTCATTCCAATGTCAATCGCCCTCCCACCGATCAAGCAATTGATCGCGAATCTGACTTTTCTTATTTACTAAGATTACACTTATTCCGGACCAATAAATAGGGAAAGCATTTTTCACAGCTAGGTGAAGCCTTTTATGAGATTTCTAATAGAGAAAACACATCTTCAACATTAAAAGCTTCTACCACTAACCTAAATCCCTAAACCTAGAACTAAACTCATTGGTGTGTTCATACCAGAAATCGCTAGCATGTCCATGATTGCTCAAGGCCTAGACGAACCGTACAGCAGAGAGGTTCAAGGGAAGTTGCACTAGACGTCGAAGAAGTGCCTTTGGCAGAGAGACAACAAAAAGAGGAGCATCTAGCCAAGATATTGGTTGAGATATAACACTAGAATATTTGTATGTTGACTTAGTGAGTAGTGGATTACATTTTGATGAACCCCGAGTGGTTCCTCGTTTTTTTTTATGAGAGTTTTCCGTGTCAACAAATTACTTGTGTTATTTATTGTTTATCGTATATACTTGTGATTGTTAGCACAAATGTGCACTATATGATTGTTGGAATGATTGTTTTACTATCTATCCATACATAATGGTGCAATTTGATTTTGGGATTTGGGATCGACATGAAATTGATTATAAGTTAATTAATTGACGATTAAATAAAATCAATCCCCATGTGTGAAATGGGTTACGGTGACTAAAGAGGTTATCACTTTAATTGTTATATCTTTGTGAGAAAAGGTAATTATGGTAGAATTAAGTTTTAATTTGTGATTGTTCAAGCTTAAAACTACAAAAAACCTATTCACCCCTTTTCCACACTTTCGGTAAAGTGTTTATAGCTCCACGTATATAATTGTGAGAGAAGATCCACATCAAGTTCTCCTCCCGAAATAACATAATATTTTAGAGTGTAAATTAAAAATTGAAAGTGTTCCAAATATTAAATGTCATTTGCTCCTCAAAATATTGAAATTTCTTTTCTTTCAATGACAAGGTTAGTCTAGTTTCTTTCCTTGCCTTATCCTAGATAGCAATAGGAAATAAAGAAATAAGGGATCCTAGGGAAGGGATTTTATTAAAATTTCAAAAGTCTAGCTATTTGATATTACAAATTTATGAAGTGACAATTATAATTTCAAATAGTCGATTCTCTTAAACTTCTTTTTATTTTTGAAATTGCCCTAGATCTATAGGAAGAAAGATCCCCAGAAACCCAAAATATGGATCTGATTGGAGGGTTAAGAGTTTACCACTATAACATTCTGAGTCATCAAATGTGAATATGTAGTAGTTCTGAACTAGTCCTAGACTCTCAAAAAAATTTAATTGAAAGTAGTATTGTTGACCTAATTTTTCAGATTCAAACCGAGTTGACTCCTTAAATTATCCAAAAACTTGATACTTTGCTCAGAATAAACTATTTATGGTTTTTTGTCCTATTGTGTTGAACTAGCAACTGATCTAAAAGTTCAAATTGTTCTTATGTAGGCTATATTTTGAGCAAAACACATGAATTTTTTTAGTTATTAGTGTTGTGGTGAGATTTGAATACGTGACTTTTCTCTCTGATACGATATTAAACTACAAATTCACATAAAAACTTAATCTATTAAGAGATACTAAGTTAGACATTTATACTTTATATTGACATTTAATTAAGCTAAGGTTTTACTTAACAATCAATTGAAGCAAGATGATCACTTCATCATTATCGCTAGTGAGATATTAAAGGAAGGAGTTGCTGAGCAGCGAATGAATAATTGTACCTACCAGGTTCTGGGACCATATGTTTTGACATATTTGTATTTTATCGTCCCGAGATATACTAGGATAAATTTCACTTTCACCCTTGAGGGTGAATGAAAAATAAAATAAAATAAAGTCCTTTTAAAAATATCATGAAAACTCCTTAGCTCAATATTTGACTGGAGGTTGGTAGTAAAATTACCATTTTACCCTTATTTATGTTCTAAAATTTAAAAAACAGACACATGTGAGATAAAAACTTTAATTTTGCTAATACAAACACGAAAGAGTTTTCGTTAATCCCCATCATTCAGTGGATTCTCATGTCATTTTTAAATGCCAAAACAGCTTGTCTTGTCTTGGTAAATACTCAAGGGAGGTCAATCATTTTTTAATGTACCCTATGATCTATGATGTGCTATTGATGTTGGGTAAAATACTTAAAAGTTGCTTGTTTTCTACCTTGTGTGAATTCATCAAAAAAAAAAAAAAATTATAATGTATCCGCTACTTGGATGTCACATGATTAGTACCCAATTTAAAATTTAAACACTATTAGCATTTCATTTCGATGGCCGTATTCCTGGTCAACAATTTTTGCTTTCTTTCTGGGATAGGAAAGCAATTTTGTATTATTTGTGGTCATGAATAGAAAGCATGTACTGTGTGTACTTTAGAACCTTTAAATGCACTGTAATATCTTCAGAAGTCCACATGCCAGTTATACAAAATTGAAACCATTTCAATTCGAAATCATGGAAGATATGGCCCATTTAGATGCCAAAGTAATTTCTAAACCATTACAGTCCACAGACAAAAAGAAAAAGTAGAAGGAAAACCTGTGTAAAGCTTGAAAGCNGCATTTCAATTCGAAATCATGGAAGATATGGCCCATTTAGATGCCAAAGTAATTTCTAAACCATACAGTCCACAGACAAAAAGAAAAAGTAGAAGGAAAACCTGTGTAAAGCTTGAAAGCTGTTGGAAGACTTCTCTGTTTGATAACCCACCAGATCTCTGACTTATTAAGGCTATGAAGCCCAGGATCTATTATGATTGGCCTTCCTCTCTTAGTTCTGGAATTAGTTTGATAATTGATAATGGCTTCTAAAAAAAGAAAATGAAGAGTAGTGCATGAAAATATATAACAAGTAGAAGAGTTTCTTACAGCTTCCAACCCAAGTGACTGCTGTGCTGTATAAAATTTAGATCTCTCGGCAAATCAGAGAAGGCATGTATTAGATCTGAGATCATGGGGAAAAGGGTCATTAGGTTATGCACCCAAAAATATGAAAAAGATAGAGATGTTATAATAATTTGTTCCAATATTTCCGTAAACGTTTTTACAAACTACGTTTTTTACAACACATTCAAAATTATTAAATTGTTTGATTTTCCTATGAAATGTGTGAGCTTCAACCAAATTTTCACATACACTGATAAATTAAAAAATAAGCTAAAAAACACTATATATAATAATTAAATGAAAAATTGCAACAAAATAGTAAACAATTTGATGATGCAAGGAGACAAATGGTTGAAAGAAAAAGTAGTGGGAATTCCACTCACCATACCATCTTGTGTTACTAGGGGATAGTCAGAGGCACTGAGATTGATGAACCAATCCCATGTGGCAATCCTCAAAAGCATAGAAATTGCATGGAGAGTGGTAGCAAGCATGGTTGGACCTCTGTAGGTGACCAAATTAGGCTTCCCAACAATCCAAACATTACCAATTTGAGCAAAAACTGGCTCACTGGTCACAAAATCTGCTATCTCCTTATGCTCAGTCTCTGGGGCACCATAGTCCATGTGAATCAAGTAGTAATTCCCTGGATGGTACAGTGCACGAAGCACCCGTTTTAGCTTCGCAGAATCGCCTGTGGATGCTGAGATCAAGTAGGCAAAGGTGACTGGATATGGCTTGCTAGATTTTGGAACGAGGAAAGTGGTACTTGGCCTGATTATGGTGAAGGGTCTTGTTACTTTGGTTGGAATGTAGAGGAGAGAGAATATGAGAGAAGTTACCATGAAAGATATCAAGAAAACTTTGATACCCATCACTTCAATCTGCATACAGCATTTGATTGAGAGAGAGAGAGATGAGTTGTCTAAGAATGGAATGAGAAGTTAAATGGTGGTTAGTGGCTGTAGGATTGCTAACGACGGAATAAAAGCTGGGAAGCGTGTAGATTGAGGCTTTGGTTTCCTTTCTTGGAATTGAAGGCGTCCATATGTCAGTTTCTCAACGGTTGGTGGTATGACGTATTGCCTGTGCAAAGGGTAATCGTACCATACTACCCTCTACTTGTTTGGTGTGAGGATTGAGTAGACACATCCATTATGAGTGTTTGGCTGTAACATAAAATATTTACTATTATTATTAATTTTAATATTTTCAAATAATGGTGCTGATTAATATGGGTGATGGGTGAAGAGAGTATAAGGAATCAAAGGTGAATTTAGACTGTCAACTCCATAATAACAATAAAGTTTTTCTTAGGCGATAATAAAATTTGTACTATAAAAATATAGTGGTTCATCAGTTTTGGAACTCGACTAATTCACTCTCTAATAGAGGCTTTTGTTCCTCTTCTTTCTATTGACTACTTGAATGTTTTACAATACAATGCATGATCTAATTAAGGTTCTTCTAGGGTCTTCTTTCTTGATGAGGCGTTACATAGTACTTATAAGGCTACTCCGTATTCTGTGGGATTTTATCCGAGATCTTTGCCCATTATTTATGGGATCCTCCTTGATTTTAGAAAAGAATCTTGGTTGGTTGAGAGTTTCATGCATTGGGCCCAATTTTCGCAGTCATCCAGTTGTTTCTTGATCGGTTCTGCCCCTGGTTCTCTGAGTTTTCCGTGTCTTTCCTGACCTCTTGACCTGACTTCCTAACCTGAGCTTATAGCTAGGGCTTGTTTGAGGTATCATCAATTGCCCCCTCTGCCCCTGGTTCAAGTGGGCTTGGGCAAGGATTGAGCTGTTTTTTTTTAAATCGAGTAGGATATGCACGTAGCTGACCTTGGCTTGCACGTGAGTTAGGCCTTTTGACGATTTTCAGCAATCATGACTTTCTCGTTTCTCGTGCACGTTGTAATCCATGTCTCTCAGGCTTTAAATGCTCAAACGGCTATCTGAATCGTCCTATTCCACTGTTCAACTTCTCTACTGCTTCTCTCTTCTTGTGATTTCTTGACTTTCTGGTTTGGAGTTCTCTAATTCNATTTGGCTGTAACATAAAATATTGACTATTATTATTAATTTTAATATTTTCAAATAATGGTGCTGATTAATGTGGGTGATAGGTGAAGAGAGTATAAGGAATCAAAGGTGAATTTAGACTGTCAACTCCATAATAACAATAAAGTTTTTCTTAGGCGATAATAAAATTTGTACTATAAAAATATAGTGGTTCATCAGTTTTGGAACTCGACTAATTCACTCTCTAATAGAGGCTTTTGTTCCTCTTCTTTCTATTGACTACTTGAATGTTTTACAATACAATGCATGATCTAATTAAGGTTCTTCTAGGGTCTTCTTTCTTGATGAGGCGTTACATAGTACTTATAAGGCTACTCCGTATTCTGTGGGATTTTATCCGAGATCTTTGCCCATTATTTATGGGATCCTCCTTGATTTTAGAAAAGAATCTTGGTTGGTTGAGAGTTTCATGCATTGGGCCCAATTTTCGCAGTCATCCAGTTGTTTCTTGATCGGTTCTGCCCCTGGTTCTCTGAGTTTTCCGTGTCTTTCCTGACCTCTTGACCTGACTTCCTAACCTGAACTTATAGCTAGGGCTTGTTTGAGGTATCATCAATTGCCCCCTCTGCCCCTGGTTCAAGTGGGCTTGGGCAAGGATTGAGCTGTTTTTTTTTAAATCGAGTAGGATATGCACGTAGCTGACCTTGGCTTGCACGTGAGTTAGGCCTTTTGACGATTTTCAGCAATCATGACTTTCTCGTTTCTCGTGCACGTTGTAATCCATGTCTCTCAGGCTTTAAATGCTCAAACGGCTATCTGAATCGTCCTATTCCACTGTTCAACTTCTCTACTGCTTCTCTCTTCTTGTGATTTCTTGACTTTCTGGTTTGGAGTTCTCTAATTCCTCGTTCAAGATCGAGCTCTGTGGGTTCGATTTGAAGATTCGTATTGCCCTCTTTCTTTCATTTCGCTCTAGGTTACTGTTCGTTGCTCTTTCCTACCTAGGGACGCCCTTTTGTCCCCTTTTCACCATTTCTCGTTATGGATCCCTCGAATTTGAGGTGGCCATNCCAGTTTTGGAACTCGACTATTTCACTCTCTAATAGAGGCTTTTGTTCCTCTTCTTTCTATTGACAAATTGAATGTTTTACAATACAATGCATGATCTAATTAAGGTTCTTCTAGGGTCTTCTTTCTTGATGAGGCGTTACATAGTACTTATAAGGCTACTCCGTATTCTGTGGGATTTTATCCGAGATCTTTGCCCATTATTTATGGGATCCTCCTTGATTTTAGAAAAGAATCTTGGTTGGTTGAGAGTTTCATGCATTGGGCCCAATTTTCGCAGTCATCCAGTTGTTTCTTGATCGGTTCTGCCCCTGGTTCTCTGAGTTTTCCGTGTCTTTCCTGACCTCTTGACCTGACTTCCTAACCTGAACTTATAGCTAGGGCTTGTTTGAGGTATCATCAATTGCCCCCTCTGCCCCTGGTTCAAGTGGGCTTGGGCAAGGATTGAGCTGTTTTTTTTTAAATCGAGTAGGATATGCACGTAGCTGACCTTGGCTTGCACGTGAGTTAGGCCTTTTGACGATTTTCAGCAATCATGACTTTCTCGTTTCTCGTGCACGTTGTAATCCATGTCTCTCAGGCTTTAAATGCTCAAACGGCTATCTGAATCGTCCTATTCCACTGTTCAACTTCTCTACTGCTTCTCTCTTCTTGTGATTTCTTGACTTTCTGGTTTGGAGTTCTCTAATTCCTCGTTCAAGATCGAGCTCTGTGGGTTCGATTTGAAGATTCGTATTGCCCTCTTTCTTTCATTTCGCTCTAGGCTACTGTTCGTTGCTCTTTCCTACCTAGGGACGCCCTTTTGTCCCCTTTTCACCTTTTCTCGTTATGGATCCCTCGAATTTGAGGTGGCCATTGTATTTTTGGGCTTTTCGATTAATTTACTTTTAGAATCGAAATTACTGCTTGTCTCCTCTCCCCCACTTCGTGGACTGGTCTCCTATCGTACAAATCCTCACTGTTGGAAGCTACTGCACTGACCCTAGAGTTATCAGGGAGTGCTTAATTAGTACTCCTCCTCTCTACCGTTCTTTCAATTTACCTTTCTCTTGTCCAGTCATGTCTACTCCTTCCAGAGTTACGCGCTCATCTGCTTCTCTTTTGGGAAAAAGGTCTGCCTAAGAGGACACTTATTTAGGGAATATGGGCGAGAAAATTGACAATTTCTCCGGTGTGAATGCTGTCGATGCAGAGGAGAATACTGAAGAACTATGCCCATCATCTTCTTCTGTGCCCCATAATCCTAATAAAGGTAAGGGCAAGGTAAATGAGNTACTGTTGGAAGCTACTGCACTGACCCTAGAGTTATCAGGGAGTGCTTAATTAGTATTCCTCCTCTCTACCGTTCTTTCAATTTACCTTTCTCTTGTCCAGTCATGTGTTACTCCTTCCAGAGTTACGCGCTCATCTGCTTCTCTTTTGGGAAAAAGGTCTGCCTAAGAGGACACTAATTTAGGGAATATGGGCGAGAAAATTGACAATTTCTCCGGTGTGAATGCTGTCGATGCCGAGGAGAATACTGAAGAACTATCTCCATCATCTTCTTCTGTGCCCCATAATCCTAATAAAGGTAAGGGCAAGGTAAATGAGATAGGAGTCTCTAATAGCGCAGTGGGCACAAGGGTTGCCTTTAGGCATGCTGAGCTCGTAGGATCTAGCGAGGTTGACTCTTCGTATATGAAAATTCTCAGTGCTCATTACGATTTTCCTCCTAGTGTCTAGCCTTGATGTCCAGATAAATACATCTCATATGTTGCCAAGTTCATAAGAAAGTATGTTTCTTTGTGGCCGCTTTTGAGAATGGTCTTCACTTCCCGATGCATCCCTTCATCAAGAGTGTTTTGCAACACTTCAATATCTGTCCTGCTCAGCTCTCCCCTAATTTCTGGGGTGTATTTGTGGGTTTTCTTATTTTATTCAAGATACATGAGCTTGGGGTCCCCAGCCTTTCTTTACTTGTGGATCTTTTTAATGTCAAGCTCACCTCATCAGAGGGTTTCTTATATATTTCTAAGCGAACCACGGCTAGGCAGATCATTACTCACCTCTCGGGCTCCCATAAGGGTTGGAAGAAACAATTCTTTTTCGTTGGGGGCACCAACTAAAAATACAACCCTGCTGATAGGACTGATACTCTAGGTATCTCTAAAACTTGGTCCTCCCCTGATAACTTAGGTGATCCCTTGCTCGAACTGATTGAGCTCTGGTTTGGGAGTTATTGAGTCGTCTTTTTGACCTTTGCTCTACTTGTGTTATTTTTCAAGCGTTTGACCAGAACTCAGTGCTGAGGACGAGAGGGTAAAGCAAAAGTTAGAGAAGTGCAATTCAAAGAAGTACTCTGAGCTCATCAATCCCTGGGTCTTAGTAACACAGGGATTCAGTCCTCCTGAGGTATCGATAGAAGCTCCGCTCCCTATCCCAGTTGTTAGACCTGAGGATATATAAGGTAACACTTTCTAAGTTGGCTTCCTTGCCTGCCCTTCTTTTTCCTCTCTCCTATTTAACTTGCTTCGTTTAGATCACCCAAGCTCCTCCATAATGAAATCTACCCCTGAGGAACTCCAGGCTAAGGTTGACCTATTGAAGAAGAGTAGGAAAAGTGACAAATGAAAGGCTGAGACTAGCTCTGGAGACAACTTCATTGACAGAGCTAAAGTGCAGAAGCTGGGAGTGCCCTCTTCTTCTGCCTTGAGCAAAGGAGGTCAAACTCTCTCATCACAATCCCTGGCCCCTTCTTCTCTTCAAGGGGCCCAGTTTGCCCCTCAAAAGGCTTCTGAGCCAAGGCTGGCTTCTCCCACCTCTTTTGAGGTTGAGGGAGCCTTGGGGTTGATTACTAGAATTAAGCCAGACTTTGCACCCCCTAGACCACTTAAGTAACCATCCCAA